TTTTTGTTGTAAGATGGCACCACTAGCACTTTCCGTATAAACTAGCATCATTTCTTGTATATAGATGTACACATTTTTTAAATTTTTTGTTGTAAGATGGCACCACTAGCACTTTCCGTATAAACTAGCATCATTTCTTGTATATAGATGTACACATTTTTTAAATTTTTTGTTGTAAGATGGCACCACTAGCACTTTCCGTATAAACTAGCATCATTTCTTGTATATAGATGTACACATTTTTTAAATTTTTTTGTTGTAAGATGGCACCACTAGCACTTTCCGTATAAACATCTCAGCATTTTATTATTAATAACAAGATGGCACCACTTCCTCACATTGGTCACTCCTGTCATTAAATGTTATATAGAGTTGTGGTGAAATACCCCCCTAGTGATCTTTGAGAACGTGTAATAATTGTGACTGTAGCCGAGAAAAGTTAATGACTCTACTAAAAAAACATGTAGCACATCACTCATTGCAGTGCTCATAACTAAGTGAGAATAAAGCCACAAACACGTGAAACTACTAAAAAACATGTGGCACATCACTCGTTGCACATAACAAAGTGATAATAAAGCCACAAACACGTGAAACTACTAAAAAACATGTGGCACATCACTCGTTGCAGTGCTCATAACAAAGTGAAAATAAAGCCACAAACACGTGAAACTACTAAGAAAACGTGGCACATCACTCGTTGCACATAACAAAGTGATAATAAAGCCACAAACACATAAAACTACTAAAAAACATGTGGCACATCAATTATTGCAATGCTCATAACAAAGTGAGAATAAAGCCACAAACACAGCATTGCAATAATTGATGTGCCACATGTTTTTTAGTAGTTTTATCATAACAAAGTGAGAATAAAGCCACAAACACATAAAACTACTAAAAAACATGTGGCACATCACTCGTTGCACATAACAAAGTGAGAATAAAGCCACAAACACTGAGCTAGGAACAAATAACCTTTGACTTGGATATTTATGCTTGGAATATACTTATTCAAAAGTTGATCAGTTCAGAACATTAAGTCAAGACTTGAATAACTGTATCTCGTGGACAGTTGCATAGAACAAAAAACAGATTTTTACAGACACCATAGAAAAGAAAACATAAGTAAAATATGTTATACTTAAAGTATTAGTATACTAGTTGAAACCATTAAGTTATTTATATAATACTGTTTTTCTTTTAAAATATATTTTGACTCAATCAGATTTACTATCAGTGTTTGTTAGATGAAGGAATGTTTAAAGAGGGGTGCTCCCCATGTACCTGACTTGAAAGTGGGACTACATTTGAGTTTAACAATAAGACTTTGATCCGTTAGATCTGTAGTATGATTTAACACTGCAGTACATCTATAAATAATTGTTTTGATACTTACAGAGTAATCTTGATATTCAAATTTTACACATAAGAGTCCTCAGATATCATTGTGCATTAGTAAAAAAATTCAGTTTTGCTTATATGTCTTGGATGCACAAATTATGTCTGAAATAACAGTAAATTTACATGAAGCTAGCAGTGTTATTGTTGATTTAATTTTAGGTATTTCCAAATTTGTTGCTTTTGTATTTCAGATGGCTTTAAGTGTTGTATCTTTTAAAAGAAATATTTGAGTAATGATGCTTTGAAGAAATATAACAACAAACCTTAAGTTTTTCTTATGTGTTATGTTTCTGATATTTAATTTTTTTTGTATATGTTTCTGTAATTTTCCTACCTTTGTATATGATGTAGTTTTAATACTGTTTCTGTTTCTTTTTGTCATGTTAAACATCTGGTTAAGATGCCCACAGTGGGAACAGCATAGATAGCCTATTATGTAGCTTTTTGCCCATCAACAAACAGACTGTTCCCTTCACCTTCCTGGCATTAAACATTATTTGGTTTTCATAATGTGTGGAGTTATAAAATTGTTATTATTTTTAAGGCTTTATGTAAATATAGTTTTGATGTTTATTGTATAAATGTTTCTGCTTTTTATCATTTTAATACTTTTTTATATTGATTACTTTAAAATCTTTAGTTTATGATTTTATTACACTCTTTTCTTTGAATATTGCTCAGCCTTATTAATGTCTATGCCATCTTCTTAGCCTTATTAATATCTATGCCATCTTCTTAGCCTTATTAATGTCTATGCCATCTTCTTAGCCTTATTAATGTCTATGCCATCTTCTTAGCCTTATTAATTTCTCTGCCATCTTCTTGGTCTTATTAATTTCTCTGCCATCTTCTTAGCCTTATTAATGTCTATGCCATCTTCTTAGCCTTATTAATGTCTATGCCATCTTCTTAGTCTTATTAATTTCTATGCCATCTTCTTAGTCTTATTAATTTCTCTGCCATCTTCTTAGTCCTTATTAATGTCTATGCCATCTTCTTAGCCTTATTAATTTCTATGCCATCTTCTTAGTCTTATTAATTTCTCTGCCATCTTCTTAGCCTTATTAATGTCTGTGTGTCATCTTCTTTTTTTTTAGTAATATTTAATTCATATTTGAGAAATGACAAATTCTGTTTTAGTTCAAACTTGATTTTGACTAATTTTGAGATTTTTTATGGTTTCTGATTGGACAGATTTATCTTTCCATGCGATTTAATTACAGTCTGATTTTTTGTTTTTTTACAGCTCCATAATATGTGAGAGATGGAAGTTCATATATTTTTTTATACTGTGCAAGTTCCATTTTTTATATAAAAATATAATTTAAAAACAACATTCAAGACAATTACTTGTAAGAGCTGTTTTTTAGTATCACCTACAAATCAACATCTGATGTTCAAAAATATGCATTGCAGTACATTTTTAACTATAAAAAATATAGATTTTTACAAAGAAAGAACTTGATGACACCATAGAATTACAACCATGTTTTTTAACTCGCATTACAGGGAGTTCTTGGGTGCTCAGAAAAGAGTCCAGATATTGGTCTACAAAGTGGAGGATCAAGTAGCAGCAGTGCAAATGCCTCCTTGTCTCCTCCTGTACTAACAGTTGCATCCTCTATGCCAGGTCTAATCCCTATCACCTCACTGCCTCTCCTACCACAGAGTGCACTCTCGTCATTAGGAGCAACGTACACTACAAGTTCCTCTTCATCCAGGACCACTTCACCTACTATCTCCATGCAACTCCCACAAACAGCCAATTTTGCAACAATATTGGCTCCAGGTGACTAACAACTAGTTTAGAGTTCTCGCACAGACTATAACACTAATCTTTGACAGTTGTTCAGTGTGGTAAATTCTCAGGAATGATAAAAATACAGCATAATTTCTCCAAACATTTAGAATATAGTGTCGACACCACCCAATTAAACCTCAGGAATTAGTTAAAACATTTTACTTTTATAAACATATTGGTGCTTCACCACAGATGAGGTATGTTTATAATTCAAATGAGGCAGAGCTTTCCAGTTCATTGTTTCTGTATGTTGATTAAATAAATAAATAAATAAAACCATCATTTAAAGAAGTTTTCACTATAAACTCGAAATATGTGTTTCAGGAAAATTTAATTATAGGGTCCAATTTAAATTTGCTATTCAAAGAATGTAATATAATATGTTCCAGCACAGCTGTCTGTTCATTACTTGAAGAAAATCTTGTTATTTAAGTGAAAATGGAGTATAGTATTTACGTAATTTAGCCATCATTCGTAAGTACAAAAATGTTCAACGAGCTTCAGTGAAATTACATGTAAGTGAAAAGAGAATAAATATGCATTTCTTGTGGAACAACTATTTTCAAAACTTTTCCTTTGAGATGTAGTAGTTTAAATAAAAATTCAGTATTGATGCATAAGTTAAATATAGTTCATGTTTACAGTGGTATTCCATTAAAAAAAAAAAAGATGACAAAAATCAGTGAAAAAAATTATATGATGTTTAAAATCCTTTAATCATCTTATTACAAACAAATTTAACAAATCAGACTAATTTCTAGAACAGAAAAAAATCTAGCAATCTCTCAATGTTCAGAGAAAAGGCTAAGCCTATTAACTGTAAGACTTTTATGAATCATTAATTGTTCTTTGTTCAATTTACTCAGAATGCTAAATGTGCAAGAGTCAAACAGAATAAGACAGTAAGAAACATAAGTGGCATATTCAGTCATAATGTATTGTTACATTATGGTTTATTGCACTTCTCTTGATAAACACATCATGATAATTTACATGCAGAAGTATTCATTCTGTTGTAGGAATTAAGTGCACAATGTTGACTGAATTAATTTTTTTTTGGTTTGTAAAAGTACATCCCTTTATCACAAGGATTAAGGGCGACTTTTTTTTATAAGATGTACAAACACCCTATAAATGGGATAGAATGTATCTTTTCTGTCAGAACCGAATTAGCTGATTTTAGAGAGTTGTCCTACTTTACATGACTGAAATACAACGTTGTCCTTCAATGTGAATTTATATGATAACACATAATTTAGAAATATGTTTTCAAATCAAGATTTTAAACTCTAGGTGGGACTGTGCCTTCAGGTACGGCTTTGCAGCTGGGTAATCTTCAACCGACCACTCTTGGACAGAACAGCATAAGCCAGCAAACAAGCTCAAGCACACAACCTCAGACAGTTTACAGGATTCCTCAAGGTTCAGTAGCCTCTATTGCAGGTACTCTTTATTATTTTACTAGCATCCCAGTTTTTTTGTGTGTTTTTTAATTCTAAGAGATAATAAGAGGCTATTTAGCCCATCTAGGCTATCCAATTTTTTAATACCACTCTACTACTCCAAACTGTGTAAAGAAACCCAGTATATATAACTCTTATCTCCATGATGCTTATTCAGTCTTCTGTTAAGTTTCTTCAATGTTGTAGCTTCTATCACACATGAAGGCAAACTATTTAATTAGCCAAGCATCCTTTTAAAAAAGTAACACTATCATAACTGGAGTTCATGATATCAGAAATACACGTAGGTTCAAGAAGTCTTGATGCAAAATGATAAAAACCCTATAACCCGAGCGCTTTTGAAAGGAGCAAACTGGAGTCACGTTTTGGTTTTCTTGTGTCTGAAATTTGTGTCCTCAAGTCTTTCTACTGACATCTGGATTTGTAGATTTCAAACCTTTAACAATATTACAATACTTCATTTGTTACCTTGAGCCCTTGTTTTATCCAGTGAAAGCAAGTCTGGGAATTTCAACTTATCCTCATATAATAACCCATTCCAATCCAAGTGCCATCCTAGCAGCTCTTTCTTGAACCCTTTCTAACAACTCAACGTTCTTTTTAAAATAAGATTGTCAAAAGTTAAGCTAGATATATATATATATATATATATAATATATTGTGTATATCTGTGCTACATTACAGTCAGAATGCTTACTGACTTTTCTCATGATCCATATTTACATGTGTGCTGTGTTACAAAGTAAATCTTTTTAGACAGGACTTTTTCATTTGCTTGAGTATTTATCTGTATTCTGAACTAATTTAAATTTTGACTTGTATACTAATACTGTTTACTCTAATTTTTACTAGGCTTCAATTCTTGTATATCTACTTTTTGTTACATGTATTATAATTTTACAGATGTCATTGTTATATTGTTGTAAGATGTTATTCAGTGTCTTTAGTGGTTTTGTTTTATTGAACCTGGTTGCTCTCCTCAGTCTGGTAGGTTCAGGTTTTCTTAGTGACAGATGCTTATGTCTGCACTTGAACCTCTGAGCCAGTGATATCTGGCAAGTTTACCTTTCTTTCATTTTACTGCTGTTAGCAATTCCAAACAATCATACAGATTGGCAGGTTACTTTAGATGTAAACCTGTAGTCAAGCTTTGAGGACTTTACAAAATATTTTGCAAATATCGTCTCTTCATCAGCTGTAAAAATTTGTGTATTTTATTTATACTCCTGTTCCATTGGTACTTGATTTTTGTTATCACTTTTATATATTTTAACATCACAGTCTAACGTATTCCTTTCAATCCCACAGTCCACGGCAGCGGCTTTGATGGTTGATCCTCCATAACTACTTTCTCAAGCTTCATTCTTTCTTGTGAATGATTCTTACATTGCCTTTTGGTTTCAGAAAGAATATCATTCTGAAATGACAAAAAAAGAAATTTAGTATATGTTTATCTTGAAGAAATTGTGTGTTTGCAAAACTCAGGCCTGTGTTTTGTTTAAATTAAAGAAACAAAATTTAAACGTTCACCACGAGAAAAGAAATTTACAGAGATTCTTGTTTTATCATTTGGTTTTCATAAATCTTTTTCTATTGTTGTTTTCCAGCAACTTAATTTCTATAGTTATGTTACATTGGATAGGGCATGCATGACCATAGCTGAGCCTCCCACAATAAGTGAAGGTCAAGCCTCCTCGGGTAACCATTTTGAAAATTAGGTATACAGAAACATGCTTCATAGTTATCTTTACATTGTTTGGTAGCCCATGTTCTATATAATGAGTTGACTCTTAAGTTTTTTGAAATAAGCCACTAACTTATACCCTTCAAGATTTGATATTTTCAACAATACTGATGGTTCGCTGATAAGCAGTATCATCTCCTAAAAACAAAAGATAGGTCAAGCCTCCCATGTGGTCAAGACTAGAGCTGATTAGTGTCACAGAAATTAATAGATTCTTAAAAAATTATGACAAAATTGATTGATGTTTCGAAAATATACAATTAATCAAGATTAGGTTATCCAGTTGTTACTGTTTTTGTTATTCCAACTATCTGTATTATCAAAATATTGCCATTATGTTTGTCTGTTGTTAAGCACAAAGCTATATAATGGGCTATCTATGATCTGCTCGCTGCAGGTATTGAAATTCAGTTTTAGCATTATAAGGTTTTTTTCCCTTCAAATTTCTTCAGCTTTGTTTCAGCATGGCCTAGTGTTTCATGGATCTCAGCTTCAATTTCCCAGTGCCACCAAAATTGCTCACCTTGTATTTGTTATGAGAAAGCTATTAAGACTATCTGCTGACCAGAGAGTAGGTAATTGGCTGACATTACTCACCTTTCAACTCTTGAGTGACTTTTTCTTCTTTTTTTGCTTATAGAAGGGTGTGTGAGTGGAGGGGTTACATACCTTGGTTTGAGGAAGACCTTACTAATCTTGTAATGGGCCCATCGATTAATCGATATGCAAATACAACTAACCACCCAGTTCTAGTCAAGGCTCCCTATCTTTCCCTACGTGTGTTGATCTTAATTATTATTTCTGTTTTTGGATAAAATGAATTGAAGGATTTTTTTTCCCTTCTTACACATTATGATATTACAAAGGAGTTCGGACATCAAATAGTCAAGCTTCCAGTTCAGGAGCATCACAACCTACTGCTGTTACGATGGTTCCCAATACACAACAAGAACTTTCAGTTATGCCAGGTAAGAAAGACTTCTCTTGAATTACATGTTATATTCAAAAGTGGTAACCTAGGAGGATTGAGTGCATTCTATTAAAGAGAATTTTGAACATGTAAATTAGCAAGTCATGGTAGAATAGCATGTATCAGAACTGCATTTTGACATTGTGTGGCATTTTGTAGGTAACGTGATGCCACCAAAAATTGATCGCTTTTGGGAAAGGTAAGTAAATACAAGATAATCGTACACTCATATCATAAAGATGTGTTCAAGTTGGGGATTTAGAATTTTCAATATAGACATATCCCTGTGACTTACTGACATTGGAAAACAATGAAATATGGATCAAATGAGGCACAAGAACCACTCAGAAAGAGACCTGCAACAATTCATACCCCAGCTGTGGTAAGCAAAATGAGGCATATTGTAAAAGACAAGGATCCACATACAAAAAAATCAGTGGCAAAAGCCATCCTCATACCCAAGGCAATAATATATAGCATAATAGAAAAGGATCTGCATCTGGAAATGAGACAAACAAACAGATTGTGGGTTGACCAAGATAAGGCTTCCAGTCATATCTTTAACCTGCACATACCTCGAGTAGCTGGAGAATAAAACAGATATTCATACTATTCCATATGAAGGTCAAATCACTAAATGCAAAGCCTATGAATTTCTATGTGACTGGACCATTGAAATGGGCTCTGGAAGAGTAAATGTGCTTTGGATATGACAACTTTACAACAGAGCCTTTTGCAATAGAAACTACACTGCAGAGCTATTATCAAGACGCACGATTGTCAAAGAAAGTTTTGCTACTATAGACTGTAACAATTTGGTAAGACTCAAAAACCATTCTAATATAATGTACTCATCCTCTGTAGTCTATTTTCCTTGATCAGTTGGTGTGCTGGTAGCCAGTTTAAGTGATCACTAATACAAGTTATACATGTTTTGTTGGTGTGCCATATCATCATTTGCATTTTTTTTTGAGTGATGATCTGAATTGATTATCGATTTTTGCGTAAAGCTCTGGTTTGGTGCTTCATTGATGTCTGTGATTTAAAAGCATCTAATATTATCCTCTGTGCTGGGCAAAATAAGAAATAATTCTTATTATTGTTATTATAAAAAATTTACAGCCCCCAGTATCAAGATATAACAAACACTTTGACATACAGTAGAAGAAAAATTCACCATTAAGCTATCCAAAATGACTGAGCCTGCCAAGTGATTTACTTTGTGAATAGATATGAGGGTTAAGTAAATTTCCCTCCTGATGTTTAACTTTATTTACTGTTAGAAATATGATTCCTCTTATTACTAAAGTTAATAGAAACTAACCTATTACAGAATCCACGCTTTTTTACACACTACTACGTAGCAGGTCAGGTGAGTAGTAACACTGACTTTAAGTTGGTAACCTTTGTGTTATTGTGACAATAAAATGAGGGGAAAAAAAAAACCTTGCAAAAAATATTTTTTTAAAGTAAACTTGACAAATGAGATGACACCTTAGAAGAGCAAACACATTTCTCTGTAGTAATTCCATATTTATTTTTTCTGTTTCCTTTGTTTAGGTACAGTCATGTACCATGCCCAGCATGGAGTTGTATATGCTACATCTGCAAGCGGTAGTTTACCAGAGATTATTTTAAACCTTGGACAATCTTCTCAAACAGCATTTACTGTCCCCCAGAATCAAGGTAATTTATCTTTTTTAGTGCACGTGTAGATACATATTGTTTACATCTTTTATTATCAGGTCAGATTATTCTTTCTTTGTAAATTGTTTATTGGTTGTTGTTTTTGTGTGGGAATGTAAATCACTACTAATTGTTTATTATTTAGTCTTTGTTGATATAATTTTCTGTCATACTTCTATAAACTTGTGTTGTTTTTGGTGCTCCTACACAAGTTAACTGTAGACCTAATTACAATAATTCTTCGAATAGTGTTTGTTATATAATTTTCTGTCATACTTCTATAAACTTGTGTTGTTTTTGGTGCTCCTACACAAGTTATCTGTAGACCCAATTACAATAATTCTTCGAATAGTGTTTGTACGAATATATGTATATGCAATCATTTGTCAGTTCTAGTCAAAAAGTACTGGTGCTTTAGACAAATGCCAGTTGTTTATAACACTAACTGATTCTGTTGCTTTTTAAAAGTTCTATATGGAAGATGCTGTTTGGTTATGCCAATCAGCATGTGAAAGTAACTACAGTTTTATTAGAATAACTTGAGCTCATTAGTTTGAGGTACCTAGAAAATGAAGTCTTCTTCCACTTGAGAAACAATTTCAGTTTTGTTTAAAGTGACCAAACCATTACAGCATATTATCTGAACCAACCAAATCTTTGAATTATAGCAATAAGTATTAATTTTTCAAGGTTGTACGTATTATCCTGTGATTTATACAATAAATTATAGATCATTGTTTATATAATTATTAAGAGCTGTCAACAAGTTGCTTAAAGTATTATCATGTTTATAACTGATTCCAGTTGTCACTATCTCATTTGAATTTTATTAATAAATTCTTTTAAAACCATAAGGTCGGTTTTCAACATTGATTTATCTTCTCCACTATTTATGGTGTTTATTAATATTTATCATTGTAAAACATGACCAAAAGTCCTGAGTATTTATTTCACAGTATATATTTTACTTAAGACATATTTGAAGGTAATTGTTTCAACAGAATGATTTTGATGGAACTTATTGCACTAAATCAACTCAAGAAATTTATTTATGAACATTTACAAGTTTATTATTGTATTTCTTGTATTAGAAGCTTTTGTAATGTTAATTGTGGTGATGATACAATAGTACAATGATTGAATCTTTATTTCATTTAATTTTGTTTCCTAAAAATTAGTATTTGTAATGAATGAGCTTGAGTCAATTAAGCAAATATATCCCCCTGTGATGGTCAAAATCCCTCTTAAAGAATTAATTGATTTTAATCAGTAGTCAAATATATCACTCAGCGAGTCTAAACTCCTCTTAAATGAATTAATTGACTTTAATCAAGTAGTCAAATATATCCCTCAGTGATAGTCTAAACCCCTCTTAAATGAATTAATTGATTTTAATCAAGTAGTCAAATATATCCTTCAGTGATAGTCTAAACCCCCCTTAAATGAAATAATCAGCTTTAATCAAGTAGTCAAATATATCCCTCAGCGATAGCCAATATCCCCTTTAAATGAAATAATGGGCTTGAGTCAAATAGTCAAATATATATCTTAGTGATGGTCAAAATCCCCTTTTAAATGAACTAATGGGCTTGAGTCAAGCAGTAAAATGTATCCCTCAGTAATGGCTAACATCCCCATTAAATGAATTAATAAGCTTGATTCAAGTAGTCAAATATATCCCTCAGTGGTGGTCAATATCCCCCTTAAATGAGACATTGTGGATTTGCCCTAACATTTTTTTACCAGTGATGTGAAAATAAAATTAGCTCCGATCAAGTTTTTTGAAATGACTGTTATCTTGCAGCTAGTGGTCAGCAGTTCATCACAATCCCAGTGCCAGTAACACTTACAGCTGCCCAGCAACAGGTGGGTTCATTGTTCATTAGGTCAGTTTAACCACTATTTTAATTCCATTTATCAGCAATTTAGGCTTACAATAATCTGTTACTAAACTTACAGCCATACTTGTTACATTAAAATAATTGTTTTTAAACAAACATTTTAAACTCTAGACTTTTAATGTTATTTGTACGTTTTTGATTGATCATTTAATCTATGGTACACCATACAAATATTATAAATGCCAAGCAGAATTGTTTTTTTGTTTCTGCCTGACAATGATTTTCAACTCTGTCTAGCACTAGTGTGTGTATAGATATGTATTTCAAGTTGAAACTTTGTATCATAGAAGAAAACTGACTAAATCTGATGGTGTAAATGTGCCTCCATATCTTTGTGTGTATTAAAGATGTGGCGATACATTACATCCTAAAGCTATGATACGATTGTATCAATGCATCATCCAATATAATTTATGTATCTTCACGAAAGTTGGCAAGCTTTCAGTAAACATTACAAGTCTTTTGTACAGAAAAAAATCAGAATTTCTAACAAAGTATTTTTCCTAAAAATTAATTATTAATTTAATTAATGAAAAATTAATTAATGAATACTACATTCATTGCTTTTGTCAAAAACATTACCTGCAAAGTAACATAACAAATTAACAATAGCAAAAGAGATATTAACTTTTTTATTTTACTTCTCTTGTCAGCTATCATTTAGTTGATCAAACCTGAGAATTTGAAAAAAACACTGTAAAGTGTGAGGTACTTAAATAAGACAATGTTAGCAATATAGATAATAAATTACAAACAAGACTGTCAAACTTTGTAACAAACCATTGGTAAAACTTCTGTATCTAGATATGCATCGTGTTGCGGCATCAGTATCTAGATACGTATCATATCGACTATTATAATGTTATACACACCCCTGGTGTGTATATGCACTATCCTACCAAAAGTCAGGGGACACATCTCTGATCGCAGGAAAATGGGTATAACAGTGAAATATGCAAATAGATTGGCCTATAAAGGTGATCAGTGATTCACTCAGAAGTCATTTTGAACTTGTATGCCAAACGATGAACTGGAATGCAGAATTAGGGCAAGGCCAAGACAGCCCTCTTCAGTAGTGGAGATTACTAATGCTTTAAAGGAGGAGTGGAGCACAGTACCACTAGCTTTCTACCACAAATTATTAGCACATTGAATCAGACATTAAGGCCAAAGGCGGGCCAACACTCTGTTAATTTTTTGAAATAAAGACGTTTTATTGATAAATACCAGTGTCCCACGACTCTTGATAGGATAGTGCATGTATATATATATGGTTATGTTATTCAGTATCAGTTTGTATCTTTGTAATTATAATGGTGTAAATATATGTATTTTAACAAGTTTTTAAAGTATTACCTTTTTTGTGCCATCGTCATAGCAGCAGTTGTTCCAAAGCTTCAGCCAGAATGGCTCATCATCAACTGTCAAGACTACCTCAGGAGCAAATCGACTCCATAGCCCGCAGTACTTAACCACAGTGAAACGAGAAAAAGATGGGAAGTAACTCTTGCTTTGTGTAGTTTGCAATTCTCAAGTGCCTTATGATGCTTCATCGAGCTTGTAAATATGTATATAATAATTTTCTTATTTGTTAGTTGTGTGACTGGCCTAGTAGAACATTATATATTGCTTGCTGTGTATACAAAACCAAGCCACATTCTGTTAAAACCACAACAAACTATCATTAATGTATGTAAGTTTAGTTAAAACAAGGTTAACAAAAATAAAATATCAAATTCTGTGTGTCCTGTTGTCTTGAAAAGAAAAAAATACTGAATTATTTAAGAAAAACTATATTTAATTAAGTTATTGAACTGTTAAGAAGCATTTTTATAGGTCACTATTTAGATAGCTCATACACATTTAAAACAGTTATTTAGGTTCGAGTTTCACATTATCTATCTCTCTATATAGTTTTTAATGTAAAATTAATCTTTATTTCTCTGTTTGATGTTGTCACATTGTTTGAAATAGTACGTTTTGGGATCCACATAATAAGAAAACACAGAGTAAGACATAAGATCTAATTTTACAGAGTATTTTCACTCTTATGAAGAGGAACATCGAAGAAAAAGTATTTGTGCATTAAATGTACACCACTGTATCATTTTGATGACAAAACTGAATTGTTTCCTACATTTAACTAAGGCAAATGTACAACACCTAGTAAATCAAGTTATTCCACTTTCTTCCATATTATGTCTTTATAGAAATTACATTATGTCCTGAACATTTCTGTTATTTTTAAGTTTAATGAAACCCCAGCCAACCATTCTTGAGTGTTAACCAGTGACTCAATACCTCATACAAATAATGTAATAATTAATATGTATATGAGGATGTAAGTAAGAAGAAAATTTTTTTGTTCAAGATTTATTTCTTTTTTGATGTGTAATATGCTATTTATTCTGAAATAAAAATCTGGTAAAAAAATCTTTTTATTTCTTTCTGTACAACTAGCTTATTCTCATGAGATTAGATAATCTTTTTTAGTCATACACAAGGTACATTCCTGACATTTTAAAATTATGAATATTCATGCTGTACTTTGCACTATGAATTATTACCGTAAACCTCAGCTTATGACACAAGCAAAAGAATGGATCAAATAGTAAGTTCATTTTCATGAAAGAATGGATCAAACAGTAAGTTTGTTTTCATGTGAAGTAAACATAAATGAAAGAATGGAATAAACAGTAAGTTTGTTTTCATATGAAGTAAATATAAATGAAAGAATGGATCAAATGATAAGTTTGTTTTCATGTGAAGTAAACAAATAAAAGAATGGATCAAACAGTAAGTTTGTTTTCATGTGAAGTAAACATAAATGAAAGAATGGATCAAATGATAAGTTTGTTTTCATGTGAAGTAAACATAAATGAAAGAATGGATCAAACAGTAAGTTTGTTTTCATATGAAGTAAATATAAATGAAAGAATGGATTAAACAGTAAGGTTGTTTTCATGTGAAGTAAACATAAATGAAAGAATGGATTAAACAGTAAGTTTGTTTTCATATGAAGTAAACATAAATGAAAGAATGGATTAAACAGTAAGTTTGTTTTCATATGAAGTAAATATAAATGAAAGAATGGATTAAACAGCAAGTTTGTTTTCATGTGAAGTAAACATAAATGAAAGAATGGATTAAACAGTAAGTTTGTTTTCATGTGAAGTAAACATAAATGAAAGAATGGATTAAACAGTAAGTTTGTTTTCATGTGAAGTAAACATAAATGAAAGAATGGATTAAACAGTAAGTTTG